GACATCCAGATGTTTTAAAATTTACTTCATAGACGACTGACCCTTCCGTACTTTATAGATGTTGAACGTCGCACTTGTATAGTTCCTAGATATTTTTTTTTAACTGCAGTAAAAAGGCAAAATTTATCATTTTAGCCCAAAACATCGAAATAAACAATTTAATGAATTCTGAACGTTGCTTAAACGACGAATACTGCACTTTATAAATTCTGACGAAGTACTTTATAAGTGCTAAACATCCTACTTTCAATTTTAGTGAAGTATGACAGTATTATCAATTTTTTTCTGAAATATTGAATTTGGTTGATTTTTATATGAGATGTGAGTAAATTCTATGTAATAACATAACAGCAGTTTTTATTACATTTTTAAAATAAGTCTTCTTGAAAGACAGTTTTCTTCGTAATATACTGTCACAGATTTTTCAATAAAAAAGGAAACCACCTCGACATTGATTAAATCCCTCGATAAATCTTCAAATTTTCTAAATTTTGAATGGAATATAGAATTATTTTAACATTTTCTCGGTTTAATATTACCACGATATTTTTTATTTTATAATCGATGCACGTGTTGGTTTTTCAAATATTTCAAGTCCAGATTAGTATAAAAACACAAACAAAATACATATCAAAAAGACATTTTATTGATATTATAACAAATTAAAAACAAATCGATTGTTTTCTTAGTGATTTAAAAACACTCTTCACTGTTTTTATTGTTTAAATAAAACACATGTTATTTGACACAAAATTAAAAAGTTTCAGCACCACTGTATAAACTTATAATTTTTGAGTTGGAAATTGCCTATAATTGTGTAGCGGTTCGTTCATGCCTGTAACTTTGTAGAATTATTTGGACAAATATGACGTAAATCATAATTTTCTAGTTTCATTAACAAAAATTTAATTAGGGATTAAATTGGTGGAAACTACAGTAAATAATGGCGGTATTAATTAGTAGGTAAATTCAACAAAAAAGAAAATTTATGGCACATACAATTTTAAAAGTATTCTAACAGTTTGTTTATGTTACTTTATTTTAATATAAAATTTTGCTTTCTCCTGAAGCATTATGCTAATGTCAGACAACAGGTTCTGAATTTTATAACTTCATCTAAATAATACATTAACATTATTAACCTTAAGGGGATGTTTGCTAAAAGAAAACTGTCGGATTTTTAATTTTGCCGTGTTATTGTCTTCACAAGAAGTTTGCGTGTAGAAAAATAAAGACGAGAAGTAGTGGTAGGCTGGTTGAAACTCAGGAAAGCTGGGGTGTAATTTATGACACCCATAATCTCTGGTAACAGTTCGGCACCCGCTTGTCGTGTATTATTGTTCGATTTTCGTTCGTCAACAGTTCAATTTTCATATACGAAAAATGACCACAAGAAATTAATAAGAAATAAAAATCTGAATATGTACAAAAATGAACTTCGAAAAATTAAGACAACAAATAGTAAGTCCAAGCAATTATAATCTAATTGGGAAACTGATTGATTTACAATAAAAAAAGCACTCAGCCGAATAATTATAAATGCAATTTTTCGGACACAAAACAATCACTTTCGGAACACTTAAAAAGATTTGTGGCAAGTAAAACAAAATCAATTTTAAGTGTCCAAATGGTTCTACTGATTGTGTCCCTATACTGAAATGCAACGAGAAAATCACCAATTTCTGCATCAGTACGTACCTATATGTCATGATGTAATGCAAATTATAAAATAAACTAGAGACCAATAATTTGTTTAGTTTTTATTTATGCGTATTTATAAATGTACCCAATTGTTTTACTTAAAACTAAGTACTTCAATTATTTGGTTTACATATTTCAATTATAACTGGTTCCCTAGCTGGTTAGTATCGGCTAAGTTCAAACTAAAGTGGTATAGAAACTACCTGTGTATACTGAATGGTTATCCGGCTAATTATAAGGTTTATGGTAATCTTTTATTCAACAAAATAAAATTCTTTCAGGTAATACACTTTGATCTTTGACAAAAAGCCGAGAAGCAATAGGATTGGTGATTATATAAAGTAACAATAATAAAATTTCTATTAGTAACATTGACTTACACTTTATGTAAGTGCATAAAAACAGCGGCGGGTCTAGAAAACAAAAATTTTTATATGTACAGAAATTAGGAAATAAAATCATAATACATAATAGTAAAACTAATCAAATGATGATTAAACTGCATTTTTGTCTGTAGTTTTAGTAGGTTTTTGACATAATAATTCTGATAAAAGTTTTTTCGACTTTTTCGTGGCGTTGAAAGTGGAATCTTAGACTTTCGTCCGATTTCAAAATTTACTCTTTATATATTTCAATGGTCACAACGAGTTCAATAACTACACTGAAGTAAATTTATGCAAAGATTAAATTTGTCACCCAAAAGATGTCGGAAATAATAAATTATCCCATCGGTCCAAGAACGTTCGGTGGGTGTTATACCCCGATCCGAGAGAGACCGCAGTAAGAGACAGCAAATGGAACGGATAAAATAAAGCTTCAAACATGATCAGTTTTAAACCAAAATTGTGAAGTTTTATAAATCTAACATTTTTTTTTCTTTTTGAAATATCATAGTAAATACTTCAAAGAATGTCCATGACTTACTTTAATGTGAATTTTATAACTATGATCGGCACAGTCGGACCTAATATTAGTGTGATTTTGAGCATATTTGCGATTTTATTACAGCAAAACAGGTCATTTTTTCTCCAATTTTATAAGTTCCGGACACTAATAGCATATCAAAGATACTGTAAAAAAACAATTTAGTTCAGATTCCAACTAGTTGTCTAGTATTTGTGAAACAAAATCTACTGTAAATTCACTGAAAACTAAACCGATAACATCACCTTAAAGGTGGCATTAATCAATAAACACCATTTGTTAAAATGTCAAACCGTTCCGTTGTTCAAAATGCATTTAATCATTCCTAATTTCAAATAGATTTTATGGTATTTTTAGATTTTGAGTTATTTATCTTTTATCTATGTAGTCTTAAGATGATGTTGTTTGATATTAAATATATTGTGTGAAGTTAATACTCGTATAATACAATGAGTAATTAATAATTATTATTTATGTAGCGTTATTTAAAACAAATATACAAAAAAATTATACATCTATAGATATCGCCGTTTTTTTTGTAACGACTTTATTAGAATGTTTATTTTATTAATTGCAAAAAACGACAGTTATTAAGTTAACCAACTCTTCTCACTGGTTTTCTCACGGAATCCCTCATGCTTAACAAGCGGATGTCCTAAACGAAGTGAGTCTTAAGTTTTTACAAGTATTATATAAACCCAGTATCATATAACGACAACAACGTCCGTCCGTTGTAAAGAGAACAGGGGTCACTCTCTAGTGAAAACACAATGTAATAATATCCTTTGCGGGAACCGTTGAAAAGCAAGAAATTCCTCAAGGTTGACAAAATCGCAATTAGTGAACAAGTAATTTATATTGTTAAATATTACTCCCCTATGTAAAAGGTTTAAAAATAAACAACAATAATCTCCGAATAAAAGAGTCGTGTTAAAAAATCAAGAAATTAAAATTTTACAAGATGTTTAAATGTGTATAAATGTGTGTATGTGTTTGTTATTGTTGTTAATGTTGTTTTTCATTTAGCAACATTGTTGCGCTATTGGTGGGTATTATGAAACTAACGAAGAAAATACTCCCGGTTGCGAAACTGCAGATTATTATCTTAAACTATGTAATTGTGTTGATATTTAAATTAAAACAAATTGTAGGAGATAATTAATTATTAATTTTTCACAGATAGTTATGATAATTAATATAGCAACTTTAATAATGCTAATTCCAACTCCGCAGTATAATTGGTTGCCTATACTTCAAAGCTTATGAAATTCGTATTCTCTAGTTTTATGGTTAAATATTGGATTCAACAAAATTAACTGTAATTTCCTACGTAGTGATTGTGGAATATTACCTCATAGTTGTAGCATTTATTTAAATACGTTAAGTTTCAGTTAGAAATCGGCAAAATAACGAAATTATTGGATTTCATGCTTCTTTTAAATAATACGTTGTATCAATTTTCATGATTTTTCTTGATAATAGATTTGTTAAAATTTATAAAAAAATTATAACATACAACACAAAGGTAAAATTAAATCAGTGTTATATTTTCGGGTGGATTCGATAGTTTAATTACAACATTAGAAAAAATACCGAGATGGCAATAAAAACACGAACAAAGACAGAGATAACTACGATAAAGCTGCGTTTAATGACAACTGCAAAATTTTAGAAAACTGAAAATATGATTTTCCTTGGCACTTGCTTATTTTACTAATTACTATTTTGTATTGTCGCGTAATGGCATAGTACTAGGTATGTATATTTTTTAATTTATCGCTATTAGCTTTTGACGTTAGTGTAAAAGAATAATGATAATGTTAAAAGATTAACGTCATAGGAGCTGCATGCGTCATTCGAATGTCGCGTAATGAAATATTTAAATCTAAATCCATATATATAAAATATCAATTGTTAATGTTCAGATTTTCAAGTCGCATGCATTTTACCAAATAACTTCTTTTATTCTAAAAACTTAACATATAATGCTATACTAAAATTTGTGCTATTTCTGAAACTAATTAATAATAGTAATGTCCATTCATTTAAAAATAAAAATGTTTCTTTCCGTCAAATTTGTGCAGCATGATTAGTATAACACGTTAACAAGACACTCTACAATAGTTTATAAAAAAGATGTGTAACTGTTTCGTGCAATAAAGAGTTTGCAATAAAAGTCATGACCACGAGTGACATAATCACAAGGATTGCCTAATGATAAAAAACTAGATCTCAAAACAAACCAACACAAAAATACAAGTTTTCATAGTCCAGTGAATGCAAATTGATTTTAAGACAAAACCCCGCTGGCAAATTTTGTGGTTTAAATTCCCATTTCTTTTGCATCTCTATTAAGTAATCAGATCATATATAAAAAAGTTTTACCTTTATACTTTTTCAGCGAGTCTTTCCTTTCCTGAATTTTCTGGCGGCGTCGTAGAGAACGTACACCTGAACAAAATTCTCTGAATGACAGAGTACCGTAGCCGTGAGGATCCAGTTCATTGAGGATATTGTTTATTTCCTGTAACAACACGTTTTTATTACAATAAAGAAGAGAAAAAACAAATTGCATAATAATAACGACTTTCGAACTTCTCTGTCATTTCCTTTGGAAGTTCGATGAAATTCTATACGGAAATATCCTGTTATAATTAGGAACAGTGACACACTTTATTTGATGATTATTTGCATTAAATTCTCATTTGCTAGTTTTATTTAACTATAGAATTCTGGTAGTGGCTTTTTTATGCAAGTCGTGAATAAAAAGTCGAATTCTGCAGATGTATTTATTTAGATTCTGGGTTAATTGCTCATAACTTTGTTAAATGTTTACAAGTGAAAGTGTTTTAACATAAAGCAAAAGATACCGCATTTGTGATGTATTATTTGTTTAAAATTACTTTTCTATTGTGATATAATTTTATAACAATAGCTTGGAAGAACTGTTTTAGAGGTATTTGACCCAAATGGGTGTCGATAAATAAATATGTATATATAGCAAGTGCTAGCTAATATATTCTAATGTAATGAAAGGTTTATTACTTTTATTTGTCCAGCGATTCTACGCCAATCAGACGACGCTAAACGTGTGATTAACTTAATCTCAGTTAAAATGTTGTATAAACTAATCCTTAATGTAACAGGGTCATTTCAACGACCGTCTAGCTAATATAATTATTGTTCGTTAATGTTTGCTTGGCGCGTTTCAGTTCGTATAATACAAAAATGCATTTTCGTATTTTTGTCTGCTTGTTGCCTGTAGATTATACAGAAAGTGGTGGAAATTTGTTTTTATATCCCCCTAATAAAAATTGTTGGCGTCATCTCAAAATATTGTGAAGTAAATTTTATTTTAAATATATAGCATAACATACTTCTTTATCTGCTTAGAGATCTTGCTTTTAATTATATTTTGTCATCAAATTTTGCTAATATTGCTTAACAGACTTTCAGGAAATTTTGACATGATGCTATTGCTGATTAAATAAAATGTTGAAAACTAATGATGCCATCTTAAAAGGTATTAAATGAATATTTGTTCAAAGCAGAATAGTTTTTGTTTTTAAAAAACCATACAGTGCAGGATACTACTATTCGAGTTATTTTATTGACCATGTCAAACACGACTTATCTGATTTCATTTAAATTTGAGAAACCTAGAAACGTTTACTATAATTAACGTTACATCATACATAATGTAAAAACTGACATATTTATCTCGATGAAAAAGTAAGTGGTATTATTCCAATTAATGCTGTTTACAAGTATATATAAATATAGTCTCCGAAATACTACAAGGTTTATCTGGCTGTTGTAAAATTAGGGTATTGTGAAGACGACAATGGAGCAGTTAATACGGCAAATCCACAGTTGTAAATCTTTGCGACTGTTTAAGCGGATTATCCAGCAGTAGATATTGAGGTATTATGACGCTAGGCTTGAGTCGGTAACCAGTCGCACAAAAGAAATTATAACATCCCATTATTAAATTTAGTGGAGCCATATAACCTTGTAGTATTTCGGAGACTATATCCTCCCTGTTTTTGATAAGACAGCCAATTTAGATAATATTTTTCCATAAATATTTTTTGAAAATAACGGAATACGGTTTTTCGAGACACAAATAGATTAATGCAAATAAAGCAGTATAAAAATAATCGTAATTTTACCGTGTTCGTAACGTTTTAAGGGAATAAATGAGCTTTTTTGAAAACAATTGTAAATAAAACCGGTTCATACACTTTAGGAGTGTAATTTTTAACCCTTTTTATAATAAATCTATAGCAATTTCTCCACCCACGAACTCTAAATTAACAAGAGAACACTCAAAGTTTACGTAAAAATTAAATTTTTGTTGAAATCTATAAGTTGTAGGACACATTTCGACTTGTTTTGAGCATTCTGAACACCTTGCTGCACTTATGATATGCAGAATCGATTCGTTTTCGAAAAAGGAGACCATTTGGTATAGTTTCTATTTTTTTGTGTTTGTACTCCAAGTCTTTTATAGTTTAAACATATATTTATAAATCTTAAAGCCAGAAATAGAGGTGGAAATTTTTTTTATGAATGAGAAAAAATTTGCACTTCTATAATTACTGACTATGAAAACGTGAAATAAATCCAATGTCAAAATGATTTTGAGACAGCAATAATCAAAGATCAAAGACAGTAAGAATAAATTTTTGAAAGTTTGTCTTCGATCGCTACATTTTCAAATCAAATTTTCAAATTGATCATAATCTGACAAATTTTCCAAAATTCATTGTTGCTCTGGCGGTACTATTACACAAGGTTTCTTATTCCCCTTATGTGTTAAACTCACTATCCAATGAATTTTATTTTTACTTCCCGAGTGTAAGTTAATAAAATTCATCAGGAAAATGGTTCTTTCAGTTTTTTTTTGACGTTTCATGACCTTTTGAGCTCAAAAAAGAGGTTCCCCGTTTTCGTTTCTCTGCCTACAATTTGTCGTTGACTGTGTAGATTTTGATTAGACAGATAATCTCTGAAACTACCGGTTCGATTGTTATCAAATTTTATACGTGCAAAATATGTCTGTATACATATGACTATATGTCTAAATACAAACTCCTCTTCTTTTATTTTTATTTTCCGCCATCTACGTAACCTTTCCCTTGCCTTGTACACATTTTTCATCCATTTCATTCCTCTTCCGTCCGCTTTTTTTTCTCATACTACAACATATTCTGCATACTCTCTGTTCTACTCCCAACCAAAACTTGTTTTCTTTTTCTTCAATCCCGCATCTAAATCTGCAATCATTCTTTCTTTCCCATTTGCTCTTGATCGGTTATCAAATATCATTATCAGTTCTTTGTACCTTGATTCTTTTATACTATCTCTCTCTCCATTCGTGTTTCGTATAACTTATTCCTTGTACATAGTCTTTCCTTCTCTTCTCACTCCATTGATCTCCATACACGCATGCCCGTTTCGCTTATAGTACTTATCTCTCTTTTTTGGTATTCCTTTGCTACACTCTTTTCTATCTCTCTTCTACATTTATCAGCATCTTACAATCTGTAGTCTCGCTTATTTTCTCTTTAAATTTTGCCGCTCTCTTTCTAGTTTCTATTTTTACCTTATGCTTTTTAGTTTTTTCTCTCACTATGTATCCTGATGTTTGCCTATTTGATTCTAATACCAACGTCATATTTTTGCACTCTCTCTAGTTCATCATATTCTCTCCATTTCTGCGCTCAAAATTGTGTATAGCAAATGTTATTTCATCTCGATAGAATAACATTGTGGTTTCTGAATCCGTTTTGATTTTGTACCTTCGGCATCCAAATTTTTGGAAACAAAAATTTACAATTTAATTTTGAAACTACAAAACCGAATTCTCGCAAATCTTGCAAGTGTTTTAAGATTGTCGTAAGCATGGTAAATTTTTTATCAAAATTTATCTGTTTATCCAATTATTATTTTATCAGGTTAAGAGAAACTCGAATAAAGAGGGCTTAGGAGCCGTTAGCTACACTAAAAACATTTCTTATTTTTAATGTGGGTTCCAGTAACCCTCAAGCATGATTTTTTCTGTTTTTTGTTTTGTTTAGATTGATCTTTTCCTGTTGTCACTAAAAGCTGAAGATTTATTTGAATAGGTGTGTTTTAATCGACAATTTTGACTTTTCCGGAAAAATCTGTGTCATATTATGTACGCTTACAGCCTTTACGAGATATAATATAACGCATGTATAAAGTTGTTTACACACAATTTCTCCTGTCTTTAAAGTCCAACCAAAATTCAGATTCTTAGATGAACACAAGTAATATTATTTTAGAAATTTCATTTTGAAAATCTAATTTTTTTCTTGTTGTAACTCCTGTAAATTAAAATAAAATAAACTGCTCCCTTCATTAATTTTTTTTAACCTCCCCTAGAAACCATTCTAAACAAGTGATAATACTAAAAAATCCTCGATAAAAATAAAGAAAGTGTAAAATTGGTTAAGATTCGCTGCACCGGTCGACGCGTTATCCCGTTGGCACGAACCGAGCTGATTCCTACATCAACTGTGTTATGACCTGATGATCTTGAAATGACTGAAGTGACTATCATCGAGTTAAGAACCATTTCCATTAAACCAGCTTTCAAACAAAAATAAAATCGTGCTGAAATTGGTTCATTCAGTGGGGAGCTACGATCCCACAGACAGACAAAAACTTCAAAATTATCATTATTATTATTATAACACCGTTTTTTCGTAACATTGTAACACTGTAAAATTTTGTTGAATCATTTAAAATTGTTTTCTAAACTTACACTATATGTACGAAGTAAAAAATAGGACTGAAATAATAAACAAGTAGGTCACGTTATTCTGCAGATTTTAAATACATTTTGAAGACACATTTCAAAATTTTTGGTGGAGATGGAGACATACAAACAAATTTTAGTTAGCGTTTATCATCTACACTTTATCTATAACCTGTCCTGTAGTTTCGGATATTACTGGTTTCATAAAATTACAGTTTGGGACACGGAATTTCAAACGACCTGTCAATCATAATGACAATAAAGTAAGGTATAAGACTACAATGTTTTTTAAATGTCAGAAAGTTGGTTGTCGTTTGAAATTCCGTGTCCCAAACCGTACCTGAGACGATGGTCGACAGCCTGACAGACAGACAGCACTAGATAGACGAAAAAGGAAGAACTACTTTTTCATGTCTTACACTATTTAATTTTAAATTTATTGTTTAAATAAAGTTTGACTATAACTTTTCTCTCCAAGTATGGCATACTCGTGGGTAAAAAATTAGTCTAAAGATAGAACATCCTTCGCCTCTGAAGTACAGGCGAACAAGTTTTCGGCAAAATGAGGTGAATCGTTCTTGATTTGACCAATAAAATAGATATCATCATTCATTTTTTTTAGTCATCTGGTATAAAAAATATGAATGTATTAATAAACCACAGCTATAGACTGATAATATCTTGCATATTTTAGGTACGATGCATTTGACAAAATTTTGAGATGACGTCATCAATTTTTTGGACTCGATAAACGGATAAATTTTGAGTATTAACTATTGATTTCAGAGCATTCGGTTTTTCTGGATCTATAGGGTAAAAACCCAACACAGATTCATAAACCACAAGTTGTGGGGATGATTGACAAATTTTGGTTAGCGTTTTCCCATGTATGTGATATTCCTAACGTATAAACTTTGACAACATTCGGTCCACTAGTTTCGGACGACAGATAGACGGAAACGTGAGACCTATGCTTCGTACTTTAGGGGTCATGAAACGTCGAGAAAACATGAAAGTAGACATTACGCTCGAGAAGTATCCTTTACAAATGTAGATGGCAAAATAAAAAAAATACAATTCAAATTTTTAAATAAGTTTTGTGACCTAGTTTTAGTTCCAAAATATGTAATTTATTTGTAGAACATTATTGATACATTGATAAAGTTTACAAATAAATTAAAAAATTTTAGTGGAGTTTCACTTCAGCATTTCAAATATTCAAAAAGTGCAATTGTTTTCAAGTTTATATGAATATTTATTTTTATGATTCGTTGTTTGATTACTGAATGGGTATTTCAAGATCGCTATTGTGTTAAATTATTTCGATATTCTTGGGTAGGCAGCAATATATGGTAATTAAATTAATTAAGTCATCTTAAAATATTATAAACCCTATTTTTAATTGTTATTATAATATAATTAATTGCATATATCGAAATTTGTATAAGTAATTGCATAACGTCGTGCGAAACAAAAAAATATTTTTTGAAAAATCCTTACGAAAAAGACGTGTTCTAGCATTCTTAAGGTTGTGCTTCAAAGATGTTCTTTGTAAATTAGTTTAAAAATTTTTCTAAGGTATTCACATTGATAAATGACGAAAAAAAAGTTTGGCTATAAAATTTCGTCCTTTTCGGTTCTGTGTCGGTGGATGGAAAGTGACAAAAAATACCTTTAGCGCGTGAAGTTTTAAACGTTTTAACGTACATTACACGAATATTATTATCAGCAAATGATAATTCAAGCATTATTTTTAGAAAGTACTGAAATTAAAGTACCGACAAAAATTTATTTAATTTTTTCAAACAAATTTTGTTTGTAAGTATTTTAAAAGAATACCGTTATGGTGTAGTTACATAATTTATCCAAAGTTTTTCTAAATTCGAACAAAATATGACAAGGTAGTTGACCGCATATTTCATCCATACAAAAACTGCGCGTTACCTGTGCGTACAAAACATACAAAATTTGAATATATCGCAATTTCCTGTGGCAAACAACTGTCTCTCTCATTATCGAAAAGTGAACCCCTAACCACGTTTATTGCTTTACATTCCGTGAATTCTCCCAACTGGAAACAGTTCTGTAGTTTACCGGATGTTAGTGTAATATGAAGTAAGCATAACGTGATTCATTGAATATAGTAATTCTTGAAATTTTGTTTACATACTACTTACAGTAGTTGGTAATTGTTGTTTTCACTCTTTGCACGACTGTAATGAATACCTAATAAAAAAGAAACGATTATCATTTATTAAAAGAAAATATTGTTCTTGCAAATAAATCGTGTCATTATAACACAGTTGCTACACTAACAACACCATCTTATTAAAATAACTAGGTTCGAAAATAATTACCCTAAATCAAGGCCACTGTCATTAAAATCGTCTTAATCAGACTCTAAAATTGTTGTGTTTGTATTATAAATTATAAACTACTAAAACACGTTACTGTTTGCTATGGAATTATTTTTTATCACCATCGTATCACGACAAAAGTTACCTGTAGACTATCCGAATGGGGTGCGTAGCTGCCAGCAAGTTCTTGTAAATAATCTATTTTAATCCGGCCGTTTCTGTCTGGTTCACATAAACGAAAAACTGTCATTAACTCTTTCATTGATAACACTTTAGTCTGTTCACTGAACATTTTTAGCCATAATTGTTACTATCGAAATAGAAATTCTTCAGTCACTAAGTAGCCAGCACAAAAAAGTACGACCATCGTGGATTAAATCAAAGCGCGCGGAAGCTACCTACACCGCTCCGTATTCCACTAGGTACTGTATGGTACTACTGTAAAAGTCTACGTTTTTCCGCGCCGAAGGTGTTTCCGGACTTAATAATTGCGGATGTCCTTGTGAATATCAAATAATAGTATTATTGAAATGAAAAAATAATTGCAAAAGAAAAAAGTTGCGTGGTAAAAGATGTAAGTGATGATTAGTCAGATCACATGGCGTGTTCTAATGGACGGGAAAGTGGATTTTGTAATGTATGCAAAGAAGCCTTGTTTGACGAACTTAATTTTAGATTATGATTAAACACTGGCATTGTAAGTAAAATCAAATATTATTAGTTTTTTGTTTTATTGCGCTAACTTAGGAGAATCATGCAGATTAATCAAGAACCATTCCCACGCCGTGATTAAACCCGAAAACAGCTATGTAGGAAATTATAAGCTTCATTCTCTCTTAAAAAGAAGGTTTTCCTTTCGTAGCGTAAGCTGTAATATTTAGGTGAATTTCATGTTTTTTCGGTGCTTTATAATCCCTAGAGCATGAAAAACTCGGGCTCCGTTTCCGTCTGTCCTTCGTTCGTCGTTTGTTGGCGATCATATTAAATAGATAATCTTCAAAACTACTGGACTGATCGTTGTGAAATTGTATTAATATTTTACGAATATTATATAAATAGATGGTAAAACTAAAATATGCATATTTGATCGTCCTCACTAACAATTTAAAGATGACTTCTCAACATTTTCAGAGTTATTATTATTTAAATTTTATTAAATAATACACTCGTACATTAAATTTTTATAAAAGAATTAAAATTCTACATTTTACAATTCAACTTAGAAACAACTAACCTACAAAAGTTATCTAAAATGTGCAAAATATTATGGTCTAGATTTGTGGTTTATTAATGTATAGATATTTTTTAGAATTCCTTCTAGAGGGTGGCTCAAAAAAAAATGAATGAGGCCATTTATTTTATTGATTAAAGCAAAACATGTTGTTCCTTGAACTACATTGTACATCTATTCAATGATATACAGGGTGATTCAGGACACTACCGCATAATTTTAATGCCGAGTCATATGAAAAAAAAGTTAAGAATCAAAACTTCTTTCCACTTTAATTTATTAGAACACAATTCTTATTGTAACACCTTTCGTTTAATTTTTAGAGGTTACCAAAGAAATACGTAATAATGGCATTTCCATGGCTACACAACCGCAACAATCAAGAAAACCATGTGTTTTTAAGGTATCAAGCAATTTTTTACTGATAAAATTAAAGAAGGCGGAAAGTAGCTTTGATAACGTAGCAAATTTAAAGCTTCTGTACCTTCTTTATATTTGAGAAATGATCATAATTTTACTAGAATTTTTTGGTTATTTTTACCATAGTGCTCTGCATCATCCTGTATCCTATCTTTGTTAAAATGTTAATGACGTCACCAAATCATCTTTAATATTTTAAAAGGACTTATAAAAAAATAAAAATAGCAAATTCAACGGGAACGTTTGTATAAATAACTTTAGACCATTTTTACTTCCCAAACTTAAGCTAAGGAAGCATTAATATAGACTCCATCCACCGAGTGGCTACTTTCATGTTTTCTGGACGTTTCATGAGAAAAAACAGGTCTCCCGTTTCTGTCTGTCTGTCGTCTGTGTTGGTATTTATTAGACAAATAATCTCAAAAACTACTGGACTGACGTTAAACGCTAACCAAATTTTGTTTGATCATCCCTACAAACAAGTTGATGACGTCATATCAAAATTTTGCCTGGTAAATGCCATTTAAATTTTTGAAATAATATACAATACTCGTGGTGAATCCGTCTTGATTTTTTTACCGATCAAAATTGCATACATGTTTTAGATGATTTGTTAGATTTGAATTTACTGTTCCACAATGGACACGTTAAAATTGAAAAAGTAGTGGTATTTTGTGATGACGTCATCATCTCTTTCTTAGTGATTAGTGTAATGATTTCCATTTGTACAAGATATCATTAAACATACCGTTAGTGTTGTAACGATTTCGAGAAAATTATACTTTCTGAGATAATTTTGCTTAAGAGGAGTCGCTACTCGCTACGTTTGGCTCTTACGGTGTTGTCAATATATTTTCAGAATGTATATATTTTAAAATATCAATAATTCTTTATTATTATTTATGGAAATTTTGGAAGGAGGTTATCACCACTGTTTTCAGCTTTCAAAATTTTAGAAATCGTACAAGGTCTATTTTTGACTTTATTTGTTGGGACTGAGATATAATACAAATAAAAGTTAGCAACTTCTATGACACAAGCTTTTTTTACTGTGTATCGTTTCTAAAAAAAAAAGTAGATCGAAAATTCCACTCTTCCGCCTTAATATGTTGTAAACAATATTAAATTTCGTTAAATTTCTTCCTGAAATAATTTGGAAAGTTTGAGTATGTAAACTTTACATTTTTAAAATAACTAGTATCAACAATGTAAAGCACTGGTTAAGGACATTGGAGTACAGTCCAACAAATCCAGCTTCTTCGAAAAATTGTAAAATTTGATTTAGAGAAATTGTATTTTTTATGATAGCGCATATAAATTAAAAAATATGAATAGAACCAGTCACAATGTAAGAAAAAAAGTAGCGCATGAAGAGATCGAACTAGAGACCGCCCCATTGGTGGTTGAATATGGCTATTACTGGGTTTTATACTGGTATAAAATATTATTACATAATTCGTGCTTTTTAGGTCTAATTTGGAACTCATACAACTGTAGGAGTAAATATGTTATTTTATAAAAACTAAATTACATTTACTATGTAAAATGTTGATATGACGTTGTTGATAAACCACAATCAGACCCTAAATTGACACAAACCGCAGACGACAGACAGATAGACGGAAATAGGAGACCTATTTTTTCATGTTCTAGGGTTCATAAAACGTCGAGCTAGGGTTACGCTCGGTAACTAAAAATAATATTGTGTAAACTAGCAAGCCCTCTTGTATATATGAGACAAAATACTTTTATTAACACTTCTGAGATGATGTCATCAATTTTTGAAAGAGATGAACAGACAATGTTTCGATTTTTACTTCTTCATGATAATTTAAAAGAGATTTAAAATTTACAGTATAACGAGATTTTTGTATATAAAACCTACGAAGTCCTAAGAAACCATAAAACTTTATATTCGTCAACAGATACTATATTACAATTCTGATAAGTTGAAATTAGAATATAAAAAATATATATAGTTTTTTTTTCCCTAAATAAATCAAGTAAAATAAAGATCAAGTAAATTTTTTTTAAGGAAGTAGTACAAATGTAAAGAATTAATTACAAACTATCCCCAGTAACATTTTATATATAATAAATATTGAAGTTCTAACATTTAAATAATATGGGTAACGACAGATTTTTTTTTAGAAATCAATATTGGTTTTAAATATTGAATATATATTTATTTTCAATGTTTAATACTTATTTAGTTCAGAACATTTAATAAATGTTCTTCATATGAAAGGGGGTATGGATATAAAAAAACTTGTGTGGAATACAATATAAATTTTATTAAACACAAAAATACACTGTCACTGGAAATAACAGTGTATTTCAAACGTTGCGGCAATATTTATACATTTAAAAATTATTTGTCCTACAACCAATTGGTTGAAAATTTGTACCAGGTGAGTTTTTTTTTATTTCTGCTGTAGTTACCCATGACACTTATGTCAGCAGCGAAACTGAAACTGCTGGCATAAGCTTCATGGGCAACCAGAGCATAAATTTAAAAAATCACCTGATATTAAAAACAATATAAATTTTTTAAACATAAAAATACAGTGCCAACTTACAATGAAATAAAAATACATTGTCAATGGAATTAACAATGTTCTGCTACATTTTAATCGTTATACAGAAATATTTATTTAATAATTATATTTGCTCTATAACCAATTCATTGAAAAACGATATAATTAATTAAAATAAAAAAAAATCATACCTCATGTTTTTTTCAATGAAAATTCATTCTTGCTTTTGTCTGCGCTTAATGAGGTCCTACCATTTTTTAAATTTCAGTAGTTGTGGCGTTTTTGTGACGTTTCCGTGTGGTACGTACCTACAATTAAATTAACTTACAAAGTTCGTAATTTCTAAGAAATCACATAACTTTACATATTGTAGCCTTGTGAATTGTGAGTTCACTAAAAGAGAGCTTATTTTTTCCTTGCTCTGAAAACTTGAAAGCAATTTGGGTCAGTATTAGTAATTTCTTCAAAATTGCATACATGTTTTTTTACGTCTTCTCTTCCTGACAAATAAACATTATGATCAGTCTGAAACTAGTTTATAAATACTAGAAGTTAATAATAATAATAATAAATGCTTACCAATTCATCCAATTTCTGCGTATCTCCCGCAATTTCTAACTCGGTTTCTTCTTTTTTTTTTGGTTGCGCCCGGACATTCATCATTTTGTCTCTACATTCATAATATGCTTATATTCAGAAATATTAAACCTCTTAAATATACTTACGTGTTGAGAAATTGCATTTTCTGCATTGCATGTAGAAGTGAGGTTATGTAGGTTTAGTACTGTTTTCTTGACAAACGGTATTTACTTCACTATTCTGAATTTATCGCAGTACCGATAATCACAATTCACAATAGGACAAACACCATGAACTTACACAAAATACTTTTTTCACTAGCAGCCATGACGCATGCAAATGTCGACTCATTTAGTGGTAGCAAATTCAACTTTTGCGACCACCGGTTCAAAAAGAAAAATTGAGGTTATGTACGCAATGTTTGATGTGATTATTTCTTAAAAAATGAACAAATGTGTGCTACAAACATTACTTGAGTATACGCATGGTAGTTGGTAGACGGTAGAAGATAAAATGATTAACTCAGCGACAAGTATAAAC